AAGCGATGTGATGAAAGGAGGAGCCGACCTCTGCTCTTCTTGCACATTTGAGGTTCAGGTCGCGACCTTTTGGTGTGTGGCTGCCAACCAGCTGCCGCTTTTTTCTCTCCTTCCTCGTCCAGCACTTTAAAACTGCCGTCTCCCCTTGATCCCCCCCCTACCTCCCCCCCTCTCTCTTCTTCCCAGAGACCCACACTGGCCTGTTGGTGCAGGAGGTTAATGCATCCTCCCTTTTTCCCCTTTCTTCTCCTCCTCTGTTATTTCAAAGCTCTCCTTGGTTTTGTTCGGAGCTTTTAGAAGCAGAAAGAAGAACGAACGCACTTTCTGTTCGGACTGAACTGCTTTGGTTTCTTAGTGCTCAAGTCAGAGTGCTGCATTAATTATCCTCTTGGCCAAACAGCACAAAACAATGAATAGCTTTATTGTTAAAGGCCTTTGAGGTGAAAAGATAAATGTTCTGGTTTGTTTGTCTGATGTGAGCAACATCTCGGGTTCATCAACGTTTCGCCCAGTTGTTTGTTTCATGGAAACAAGCAGAAGAAGCTGAGCCGCTCTTTGGGTTCGTGAACTGGCGGCCTTATTATTATTATTATTATTATTATTATCAGCTGGGGCTCGACCCGTTGGTGGGATTGCGGTCCGGCAGCACCGTGCGCTCTGCAGACGCTCCCTCCACAGTTTGCACGCGTTCGTCTCCGCTTCTATTTGTGCATGCGGGTTCTCAGTGGGGGGGCCAACCGCCACGCACACCGTGGACGCCTGCTTGCTGAGGCTCGTTGTCATGGTTACGTTTCTTATTGTTGTTAAATGTTGTTTTTGATTTATAGATGATATATTTATATCACAATTGTGATTTCTTTACTACATATGGTCAGTATGTGAACGTGTCCTCGTGTCCTTCTGTCTCCTGCAGGCCGTAACAACGGACCCTTTCCCCGTCAAGATGCTTTATGACAAGTCACATGACCAGGTGTGGGTCCTCACCTGGGGGGATATGGACAGAACGCACCCAACCCTGCAGGTAGGTTCCATTACACTGTATGTCGCCACACAACAAGAGCCTCATTTACTTCAAATACAACTTTAAAAGTTTAAAACATCCCTTCTTCATCACTGTCCCCCCCCCCCACCACCATGTGGGGTTAGCACGCTAACTAAGGAGCTCTACAAAGTACTCGTGTCATAAGTATTTGTACCACGACCCACCAACATTTGCCAGCGCAGCACAAACGGGCTCCAGCTGCTCCTTTGGGCCGCCGGCGACAAAGAGAAATGATCACAGGTGTGCTTGTATTTAATACACCTGTGGGGGGGCCGGGGAGGGGCAGGTGGAGGGGGGGGGGGGATACACACCAGAGGCTCATTTCTTTGAATACATCGTTGGTCGTCGTTTGCTTCTGCGTTTCTCTTTGTTCAACACGTTGGTTCCGTTTTAGAGGCTTTTTGGACCCGGAGGCGTCACGATGGTCTGGCGACAGGCAGCAGTGAATAAGTCACGTGGGCGTGTGTGCGTTTGCTTTGGCACCTTTTCCCTCGTGTGTGTGTGTGTGTGCGTTATTGTTCTCACCGCTCAGAATCGTAAGTGAAGCAGAAAAAAACCATGAAAATGTGTTTTTCATGAGAGACAAAACACTTTTGTCCCCCTGTAATTTGAAACCAATCAGAGAGCATTACGCTGCCCGAACCCAAATCACACTTTAGTGTTTCATTATATTTCCACACTGTTTTCGGGAGTATTGAATAATTAGCGAGCAGAAAGAGAAGAAGCGGTTCTTCTCTACGAGACGCTTAACTCGCGTTATGGAGGAAATCACCATCACACACAAGCAGTTCTTCTCCGGTTCTTCTCAAATGCTGATAGCTAAAAGATATTTACCATTTCAATCATGTGACGTAGTGATTGTGACACGCCGGATCATCATATTGCTGCAATAACTGCAGTCATCTGCAAACAGTATATTGTAAACGGTGGAAGTAAAGCGAACATTTTTAAACAGACGTCTAATCAATGACTGTGTGATAAATGAATACATGAACGTCCTCACTAATTCCTCTAGCGTGTGAGTGCGTGTGAGTGCATGTGGTGAATCTCTGATGTGCGTCTCAGCAAACAGCCGCCTCTCTTGTTTTATTCTGCATGCATCTATAAATGAATACGATATGCGCCTCAGGGAATAAAACAAACAAAGTACTCATTTGAGTTTCAATATTCAGCATTAATCTCGGGCAACAAGCCTTTGAGTCCTCCAGGGAACCCGTAACGCTTTATTGCCCCCCCCCCCGGGGCGACCAGCGCTCTGAAGCGTCGGGGTTTGTGCCCGGGGAGATTTATTGAATTCTCTAAATAAGCCGCGTACGCCGGAGCCTCTGAGGAGCCTCATCTCATGACGCTGCTCTCCAGCCGGGAGGGAAGTATGAAGAAAACAACCCCGGGTTTCTGCAGAAGTCTACTCGCTTAAAACCGCCCACCCCCCCTCAGATATTAGCGAGGCTAATAACCACCAAGTGGGCCGCCCACCAACACATCGAACCTCATTGCATTCTGCTTTTTAATGGGAGCAATCTGCAGATATGTTTTGGGTTGTCGGGGGGAACCCTTGATCTGCAGATTATTCTAGTAAACACTAACGTAACATTTCATATTCGTTCCGTTCTGCCTGTGATTCGCAGGTGATTCCTCAAGCCAGCGTGGGAGAAGTTCACCACGCCATCCGCACCACGTTCCAGAGGGTCAACGACTTCTTCATTCCCCCGACCAACCTCATCATCACCCACGTGAGGTAAAAACACACTCACTTGACCTTCAGCCGCGACCCGCCCGGGGATCCGTAACGAGGATTCGCCGCGTTCGTCTCTGCCCCTCAAAGATCGTTGACCTTTTCCGCTGAACTCTGTTGCTTCAGGTTCGCCTTCGTCTTTCTCAAAGACGAACCGGCGCTTCACAAGATCGACCTGGAGACCTTCCACCGCGTCAAGACCATCAGCCTGAGGAACCACAGCTGCGTGCCCGTCAGCATGGCCTACACGCATCTCGGCGGCTTCTTCTTCGTCCGGTGCCAGAGCGAGCGCCGCCCGCGGGCCCCGCCGCAGCTCCTCATCGACAGCGTGACGGACGCCGTGGTCGGCCCCAACCTGGACGTCGCGGGGCAGCCGTTCGTGTCGCCGGACGGCCGCTACGTGGTGACGCCCGACCCGCGGCGCTCCAAGCTGGTGGTGCAGACGGTGTCGTTCCGCGGCGAGCTGGGCCTGAGCCGCGAGCTGGACCAGCCCGCGGCCGTCTCCGACCTGGCGTTCCAGCCGTCCTTCGCCGAGTCCAACCAGCACGCGGTCGTGGCCACCTCGGGCTCCGGCGCGGACCTGCTGTTCGCCGATCTGTCCTCGGGCCGCACCGAGGTTCTGCGGGGCCTCAAGGAGCCGCTGCCTCCGCGGGCGTGGCCCTGGGGGGGCCCCAACCGGGTGGTGGTCTCCAGCGGGCCGTTCGGACAGTACCTGGTGACGCCGTCGGCGGAGTCGCTCTTCGTCCTGGACGGCAAACAGAGAACGCACACTGCGAGGTGTCAGACATCAAGAGAGGGAACGCAGTGTCTGGGTCGGCGAGCATGAGGAGGAAACGCAGAGGCAGGAAAGTCATTAGAAAGGAAAGATGGGCCCAAGTGACCCATTTAAGATTTATGTGACCAAAAGTGGTGGACTCAAGCTTGAGACTGAGCGAGAGAGAACCCATGGCCGGGTTTATTGTACAAAAGTACACTTAAGAATACAGTCATTGAGAAAACATAAAGAAAAAGTGTGAACGGCGTTCGGTGCAACGGTGATCTACGCGCACTCGACTATACAGAACTGTACATTATTGCACTTCCGTCCATGTTGTCACAGTAAATAGGTACCTGAAGAGGGTTATGACCAACTATGAACTATGCACAATGCTCACTTTTTGTAGAGTAAAAAGCTTTTGTTTATCTCCACAATGTTTGTCGTTTCCACCAGTGCTGCATTTAATCCCCACAAAGTGTCCGTGTGTCCCGTCGGCCTTCAGTGTCTGTGTGTTCTGAGTCCTGGTGTGCTGCCGTGTCCTCCCTCTCAAGCCTTTTCCGTGTGCTCGAGCCGCCAGAGGCTGGCTCCACGCCGCCGTGTGACACCCGCTATTTACACCGCCCGCCCACGCAGCTCCGCCCCGCACCATCGGCCCCCCCCCCGCCGCCTCCGTCCGCCCTGTATACTCTGTAGCAATACTTATTGATTGTTAAATGACCAAAATGACCATTATTACGAGTTCAAACAGTGAACCCAGCGGAGCTTGATGCCTTCTGGCCTCCAGCTGAAGCTAAAATATGTCCTCGATGTCCTTCGCCATCCGTTCAGACGTCTTTTGCGCTTTATGAAATTAATCAGGAGTTTTTTTTAAGAAGCTGATTTGCGTTGCAAGCTTAATTTCTTATTTCCTCAAACACGCATCCGTTTAATAAAGGTTGCTTCTCATTTTATCGTTTGAAACCTTTTGTCTTGTACTTCCAGGATTTGCGAGGCCCAAATAAATCTATCTTTAGATCAGATGAAAGCAGAACTAGTGGACTATAGAAAGCGCCCGGCTGCGTAGTCACATGATCTCACAGGCTTTGGCGTTTTGCCGTTGACGTTTCCTGGCAAACTAGTTCAAAAGAAGATGAATGAATCTCCGCGGTGAGAAACGTGTCCAGCTGGAGTCAATCTGCTCATCTTTGTTTGTGTGTTGGTTTTCTCCCGTAAACAAACGGCAGCACAAATGAAGGATCGATCATCACCGGCTGGCACGTCGGCGTGTCTGGAGCTGCCTGTGACACGACGCGTTGGGTAGAAGTCGGCGTGCAAACTGCTCGTTCCCGCGTGTCATTTAGTCCATCGCTGCTCCTCCCATGAAAACCTGTTGGTCATTTAACTTTCTGAAGGCGATGACATCATCACGTGATGACGTAATCGTAGGCCGCTGTTGCACTGAGGAGAGAAGAACACTAGGCGTCCACGTTCGTTCAATGGAGACTCGTCAAATCGGTCGCCCAGTTTCTCTCACTGCATCACTGATAAAAGGAATCTTATAGTAAAAAAGCTCTAATGCTTCCTAGAGTCACTAACCCACCCGAGAACCCCCCCCCCCCCCCCCATGAGTCGTAAACAGTACCGCACCCCTCTGACATGCATGTAATAAAGAAACCTCACATATGACCACCGTAGACCCTCAGAGATCTGGCCTGTGAGAGCGTCACTTTCCCGCGCCGCCATGTTGTCTGTTGGGCTTCACCTCCGGTGTCACATGGTCACTGGGATCCACCTCCGGTGTCACATGGTCACTGGGATCCACCTCTGGTGTCACATGGTCACGTAGCTGTCCTCTGATGGGCATCGATAGAACCACTGTTGTAGATATCGTTGTTCATGTTTAGAACTCGTTCGACATGACAAAAACTGACTGTACAGTTTTCTTTATGCATTTTGTGTGTTCTGGTTTATGAGGGAATTGTTTTGTAAGAAAAAATCTAATTAAATATATTGTAAAAACCATCCAATTGTTTTATTGTGTCTTAACACTCAAGCATGACAAAAATAATAATTTATTTGTACATCTGAACAACGGATTTGTTGATGTAAATAGGTCAGAATATTGGACAACAAATAAGTGACATGGAGTCACCAAGTGCATGAAAAAATATATATATAGTCAAATATAATGTATGTTTAAAGTCAAGTACACTGAAGAACCTGGTTTAAAAACACGTTAAACATTAATATTTATTATTCTAAGTCATAAATGTTATTAAATAAGTGCAGTATTTCGAAAGTATTAGAAAGTAATTTTATATTTTACCAAAATGGGTCAAAAGAAAAAAAACAGTTTGTTGTCAAAAGTGATCAAAAAATAATGAAAGCTCACATATATTTTGTTAAACAAACTTAGCTTATTGAGTATGTTTGTAAAAAGGTAATGGTTAAAGTGTATCACACATGATTTACAAGCAGCGCCGTATAATCTCTAAAAGTGCCCAAAATGTTCCCTGGAAAACAAGGCGTGTTTGTGTAAAACGCTCTGCGCTGCACACGGGTCACATGACCAGAGCCTCAATGGCGACCATGTGCTGTTTAGACAGAGCAGGGCATTCTGGGAAAGTGTCCATGTATGCATCTCTTCTACTCGGCTATCATTGTTTGATTTATTCATAATCTATTTCTCACGGGGAGCAATTCAACCATTTTAATACGATTCATGCAACTAGAGCCACATCTGCAATCACATCTGCCACATCCTCACAATGAAAAAGGGATAATTATGCAAAGTATTACATCATCTCGGCAAAAAACAACTGAAATGTGAGTCCTGGAAGCCACAAATGAGACGTTTTCTCAGTCCGGCCGAAACAGATGTGCGGATGCACATCTGTATTTAACTGATCTTAGAACAATAACAACAACTTTGTTGCTGAGAAATATTTGCGTCTGTGAGAAAAGACCCACAAGGAAAGCAAACAGCTCCAAGAGACATAAGTGAATAAAATAAGTTATAATAATAAGTGAATAAAATAAGTGATAATAATAAGTAAATAAAATAACATAATAAGGGAATAAAATAAGTGATAATAAGTGAATAAAATAACATAATAAGTGAATAAAATAACTGATAAGTGAATAAAATAAGTGATAATAAGTGAATAAAATAAGTGATAATAATAAGTGAATAAAATAACTGATAAGTGAATAAAATAAGTGATAATGAGTGAATAAAATAAGTGATAATAAGTGATTAAAATAAGTGATAATAATAAGTGAATAAAATAAGTGATAATAATAAGTGAATAAAATAAGTGATAATAAGTGAATAAAATAAGTGATAATAAGTGAATAAAATAAGTGATAATAAGTGAATAAAATAAGTGATAATAATAAGTGAAAAAAATAAGTGATAAGTGAATAAAATAAGTGATAATAATAAGTGAATAAAATAATTGATAATAAGTGAATAAAATAAGTGATAAGTGAATAAAATAATTGATAATAAGTGAATAAAATAGGTGATAATAAGTGAATAAAATAAGTGATAATAATAAGTCAATAAATAGCTGCGAGGTTCAGAATGAAATCCATCCAATGAAGTTCATTCGTGAACGCAAATACGAAGCATGCAGAGGTTCCAAACAGGCAGTGGTGGGGTTTATCCTCTGGGGAGCATGAATGGCTGACTTTTCATGGCAACCCATCAAATATTTGTAGTGTCGGATGAAAACACAAAACTGAAACAAGACTTCAGTGTCAGGAAGTCAGGGGCCAAACATTCTCTCTTTACGCTCAGTGCTCATTTCTCGGTTTCCTCCTGAGTCCAGCGGGCTTATTGATCTGCCGCGTTGTGTCATCGTGTGCGTCTCCACGCAGCGACAACACAACACGACACCCCCCCGACTGATGAACTCACCGCCCACACGATGAGCCAACGACGAGAAGCAGCTGTTTAATGACAACGTGTTTTTCTCCTTCTCGGCTCCTCGATTCTGTTCATCATTCATGTTGGCCTCTGACGGGCAGGTGGCGTCGCCCCCGTCATCAGGGTGTGAATGAGTGAATGATGACGGGATCAAGTGTTAAAGCGCTTTGAGTCTAGAAAAACACTCATTCATTACAAACATTCATATATTTGGACTATTTTGAGGTCCGTTTATCTTTATTTTAGGGTAAATAAGCGTTAATAATCACATCAACGTTAAAATGCTCCTCAGTGATTTCAGTAAAAAGCAGACTTTACTTACACGTTTCACCGTTTGCAGCATCGTTTCTTTTTACTCTTACTTCTGTAATCTGTGTGCGAGAGGACCGAAGGTCAAGGTGCACGTTGTGGGGAAACGGCGGATCCCACAAACGATACAAGACGTCGGAGGGAAGCTGCAGTGAGAACAGAAACGTGTGCTCAAACAAGTTGATTTATTCAAACAAAACTGGTCAATCTGCATTAATAAACAGCTCTCCAGGGGAGAGGACTGTCCCTTTGAGATGCACACCTGCTATTTTAATACATTATGTGTGTAAAGTCCATCACCAGGAATGCGTTTCATTTAACTCTACATTCTTTTTTCTGCAGCGGATGCTTTTATTTCGTGGGATAAAACCGCTAAGCGGCTCTGTGAGCAGACGGAGGAATGCGCTTTGCTATTTGCGACTCGTGAGGCCTCCGGCTCGTCCCACCCGGCCGGGCAGCCATCCAGGGGGGGGCGAGCGGGGGGGGGGCTCCTCTGCACACAGTCTGGCGCATCGGACTCACATGGATTCTCCTTTAGCTCTTCACGGCTTTTCTGTGGGTGCTCGACGCTGAAATAACCCGAATCTGCACCGTGACGCCGCCTCGCCACATTAAGGTCGATTTCACCTCCTTTGAACCCGTCCGCGAGGGTCGGGTGGGGGGGGGTCGGCGCCCCTGTGGGTGAATCCTCGTGACTTTAATGGGGTCTGTTCTTTGTAGCTGTTTTTGGAGCAGAAAATGCGGTACGTTTCGATGTGGTGCGTCTTTTCATTGGTGCCCAGCGGCCTCCCAAGTTGGTGGCGTTGAGTGTTAGCGTGCGGCTCCGAGCGAGCGCCGCGTTTATCGCAACGGAACACGAGCCACCGCGCACATGTCGATATCGAAGCGTAACACAAGTTGTGTCAACCGGGAGGACGGAAGAAAAAAACGCCTCCACAACCAATGAAACCACATTTCAATTCATTTGAAGGTCTTAGCAGGTGAGTCTGATATTGATCATTGTCATTGATATTATATCGTTATTGTGATTAGATACGGTCTTTAATATTTGAAAGATGTTTTTCTGCCCTTAAAGTTAAATTACAGTAAAGGATTTCTGCATTTACCAACTTAGTTTCATGAAAAAAATGTTTAGTAAAACCACCAACTTCCAACTAAAATATGTTTCCAATATTAATATTGAGGTAGATTTTTTCTCATTTTGACCACTTTGATTCATTTTTGGTAACTTTTCTGACAAAACTGTCACTGAACCAACGAGACGCATTTAAGATTCAACTGAAAGAGACTGTAATTTAATCAGAGAAGAATTGGACGCCCACCCCTCCCCCCACCCCCCTTTTCTCGCCCTCTGTTTGCTTTTGCTAATAAACGATGAGCTTGTTTTGTCTCACATCTCGATGAGCGACGCGTTAATCCTGCCGGGCCGGCCGGGTGGAGACGCGCGTCGGGAGGAATTAGCAAATGACATTTTAACAAGGCGTCTGTGGTGATATAATGGGGCCTAATGAAAGTAATGCTCTTCGCTCATGCTGCTGACAGCATGTGTTTCTCCAGCTGCACCCTCCTCTTCCTCGTGGGACGAATTAATCAGAGAAGAGAAAACCAGATATGAAGGCATAGAGACTGCGCATGAATAATCTTCATCCAAACAGATTGGGCTTTAATTCCACCTGAAAAAAGTCAGAGAAAAAGGCGCGTGATTGACTTTTTACATTTGAAATCAGATCACTGCTTTGGTGTAAATGCACACATGTTTCTACGTGATGCACCTGATCTCCACTGTGTCGTGTGATTCTGTTCAAGCGTAACAAGAGATGTAAGCGGTCATTTGAGATTACAAATACATCGATGAGGTAGAAGCAAAGGCACCAAGATGGGGAAGCGGCAGATGATCCACAGAGGGATAGGAAGCGCGCGGACTTCCTCCCAGCTTCTAACCAGTTGCTCACGTCGCTCCGTCGAGGGTCAAAGGAACCCTGGGAGGCCTTTCCAGAGGCTGCGAGGAGCCGTGTCCTCTAATGGATTTCCAGAAAAAGACATGAGGTGCAGCTCTTAGACGTCCCCAAAGAGGCTGGTTGAGGGGGGGGGGGGGGGGCGGCGCCGAAGCACGTGCGCATACAGACGGTCCACCTGGAAGCACGAGGCCACGCCCACTGTAGATAAATGACGTGTCTCCAGACGCGCCCCACAGCAGCTGGGAACCGCTGGATCTCTCCAGTAGAAACACTGAACGGGCGTCCGTGTCCTCGTCCGTGTCCTCGTCCTGCAGCGTCCACACCCTGATTGGAAAGCTGAAGCCGTCCGCTCTGTTCATGGTTGACGGGCGGGCAAAGCGCACCTTTCCGCTGGGCGTGTTCTCGGCGGGGGGGGGGAGGTGATGGAACGTCCCACAGGTAGAACGAGGCAGCTCGTGTCGCCTCATCAAAAGCGCCACGGCTCCTTTTCGAGAGGGAGCGAGTTCACACGTCGGCCGTTTGCTTTCCGCAGCGCGCTCCGTCTTTATTAGCGGCCTCCCAGAGGATTGTAAAGGCCCACGTTTGCTGTTACAAGCTGGTCTCTGATCAGCTAATGTTCACATCCCACAGCAATGAGCTCAGCTCCCTGCAGCCCGGAGAGGAAGCTTCTGGGAACACAAGGACACCAACGTTACGCTCATCGGTTTATCGACGGAACGCAGGCCCTCAAAAGACACGGCACGCATCAACAGAACAGCCCCCCCACCCCCCGAACCCCCCCCCGATCAAAATGCATCGAGCTGACTACAAAGGAGTGTGTGCCGGGAGGAACGCACCTTTTCTCCAGAGTCGACCTCTGAGATTTAATCAGAGCGCAGATAATCCATGTGGTCTTGTAAGTACACGAGCTTCTGATCCTGGAGGAGAGGAGGTGTCAGCTGACGTGGGTCTGATCAGCAGTCAGTAAGTCCTCACGCACACGCACACGCACACGCACAGACACACACACATCCTGCTTCATATGGTGATAGCAACAGAAAACACAGCTTTTGTATAAATGAATTGACTAAAGATGTTCCCGACACCTGAAGGAAGAAGAACCGCTGAAAACATTTTCCGTGAAATAGTTTCACTATTAATATGATAAATATGCATTTCCTTAATTTTCATGACCACTGCACTGATAACGATCGAATGTGCCTCAATCACTGTGAGTGACATCATTACCATGTGGTTCTACTGCAAGACACAGAATAATGAACGGTTCAGTCATCATGTCCATAAATGACCTCATGACCCTTTATTTCTATTTACACTTGTTTGGGGGAGAAAAAAAAAGTGTAAAGGGAAAAGAAACGTTGAATGTTAAAATGACTTTTTTCATTTCCTTTAAAAAAACTTACTTACTTTACAGTTTTCAGCCACAGTCTATTATTATTTTGGATTTTCCTGTGTTTAAGTTGACGAACGTTCTTCAGCACGACTCGTTCAGAGGCTTATAAATAAATAAATAAATAAATGCCTGTAAATTGCAATTGTAAAAAAAAAGCCTTTTTGTCGGCAGCATCAGAATTGTTGTTGTTGACGTTGACTATTTATTTTATTTTCATCTGCACGGTTCACGAGACATGAACTGATCCTCGATAACAACATCTCGTTACAGCACCTACACAAACACGTCGATAACACACAACTGTTACACACAGGTGAATTATTGTGCCACAAATGAACGACACGTTTGTTGAACAGAGTCTTACAAAGTCAAAATGCGCACAGCAGGCAGTGTGTGTGTGTGTGTGTGTGTGTGTGTGTGTGTGTGTGTGTGTGTGTGTGTGTGTGTGGAAACTTCCTCACAACTAATTTAAATAAGTTCAAATGTTGTCTAAAAGAAATGAAGCAGATTCTAAACTCTGCATTTGACTGGTGGAGGAGAAGGTCGGCAGCGCGTTCAGTGAGGAAACGTTTCCTCACTTCGAAATGAAACGTCTTTGACAAACCAAATAAAAGGGGTTGTTTGAACAATTTATTTCATTTCTTCAAATGATTCATCAAATTAGCGTAGCTTTGTTAGCGGCCGCTGAAGCGCTTTGATTTCTGCGGTTTTTCATGTTTCTCCGCGTCTCACTCTGAATGTGACAATAATTGATCCTCTAAAGCTTCTGATTCTCCTGGATGAGGAAGCTGATCCAGCACCACTGGCCTTTGGTTTGTGCGGCTCTGTGCAGTACGTCCCGCTCCGCTTCGTGCCTCCCCCATCACTCCCCCTCTCTTCTGCTGTTGTTCATCGTTGCTCTGCAGAGCTCCGTCCGGCTGCTTTTGGTCGGTTGTTTTTTAAGGTGCAGCTGCTTATTATAGAAAGAATATTAAAGCTGAAGGAACTGAGTGAAATCTCTGCAGACTTCAGAGTTTTTTCCTTGTTTGCATGTGTGGTGATCGTCTCTTTCTCATCGCAGGCGTTGCTTCAACCAATCGATTTAGTCTCAAACACCAATGTTTCACTGCAATACTCTGTTAGAGAAGATAAGGTTATAATCGTTTTAAACAGACATTCACCTGTCACACTATTTGACATCCTGTTTTTATCAAATGCCTGAATTTAATAAATGCAACGGACTCTGTATCCCCCCCCATGGACCACCTGGCTTGTCTTACCTCACATAGCTGTGTGATATCACAGCGATATTCAGCACCTGAAATCATCTGGCTGCCAAAGCAGATCCTCCTCCTGCAGGCAGCCAACGGACGCATCATCCATCTGTGGCCTTTGAGCGGGAAATGTCAGATGAGCGCGCAGGATAAGGTCAGGACGAGAGCATCTGATGAGGCGTGACTCCAGCAGAGGAAAGCACGAGTGCATCTGCCAGCGCACAACAGCGTCCGTCCTCAGTCATTTAGTTTGGTATCGATCCTTTTGGTCTCTTGGTCTCTGGGTGTCTTTTGTCTTGAGCCGGAAACATAATAAATCACCAAGACGGGACCAAGAAAATGTCAGAAACAGAAAGCCGTGGAAAACAAGGTGACTACACGAGGAAAAAGTCAAGTGATTCTACGTCGAACTCAGAGAAATGGCCCCGATCAGTAGCCCTGTGGGGGGGGGGTCCAGTAGCATCATAGCAATTAGCGGACTGCTAGCTGGTTAGCTGTAGCTTGCTAGTCCCAGACAGTTGTTGAGTGTGTGGATGCAGCGTTGAAGCGAACGCATCACTCGCTTAAACAAGACGTCCAGGTTTGAACAAAGGTCGCCACGGCAACTCCTCCCTGTCCTCCTGCCTGCTGACGACTGAATCTTTACGGTTTTTATTGCATGTTATTAATTACTTGCTCAGGTGGAAAAGTTGAAGAAACGATGACATGAGCGATCACAGACTATTAAACGTATTAAGATTAAGCATCACATGGAGGCCATGCAGTGCTTTTAAATGTCACAGACTGACAACGGACCAATAAATCGATACATGATCCAAACATTTTCAATCCCTTTGAACCCATCAAATCGGCCCTGTTGCGTCGTGATAAATGAAAATGAATGTTTGACGAGTGGAACACGGAGGCTGCGTATACATGCACTTCACTCGCAGTTTGAAAGCCTTGCAAACATTGTGCTCGATGGGATTACTGTTACATCAGGACTTAATTCAGCAGGCTGCATGCACGGCAAAGCCCACAGCATCATGTTTCAATTTATTCTTTTATGTTGACCTGAATAAAGCCGCACACTTCAGTTGGAAAGAGAGAGAGAGAGAATAAGCAATACCTCTTCTTTCATTTATCATGAGGAGCCTCGAAGGGAAACAGAGAGAGAGAGTCAGTGTTTGTGTTTCCCTCCGTCTCTCGCTCCTCTTTGTGTGGCTGGACTTCAGATTCATCCAAATCACCGAAGGAGGACGAGAGAGCAGCTCGGAGTCGGGCGTCTCTCTCCTGAATTATGCTATTTGTTTCTCTGCCTCTCAGAGCGCCGGCGTCTCTGAGCGGACGGGGACGAGGAGCTGGAGGTCACAGAGCGACTCGATGCCATCGGGACCAAACGGGAGGGAGAGCAGCGCAGGACGGAGAGTCGGCCATCCCACTTCTCAGAAAGTGAGAAGAAGTCCAGGGGAGAGACGCTGACTCTGATGCTTCCATCCATCGTCACGTGGAAAGATTATTCCCACCTTGTTGTTATTTACACAATATTATGAACAATTTCAGTCAACACAATCTTCTCAAACATTAAACGAAAGCAAAGCTCAATTTTTCCTTGTTTCTAAAAAAATACTTTTACGTTCGTTTGGTTTTTGACGCTTTTAACGTTTGTATCAGACACATGAGACGTTTTTCTGGTTGATTAATCTGCAGCTCGGCAGTGAGTTATTAAAGTGTATACAACAAATAACAACACAATAAAAACACAATTCGTGTATTTGGTTTGTCCCTCGTTATCCGTGTTGTTATCGGCTGAATAAAAAAGTTCTGTGTTAATGAACCTGCTCCTGATTCCACCTAAAAGTTGAGAAAATAAACCTCAAAATGCTTCAAAACGCTGAGTTGTTGTCAAGACGAGAAAAGAAGAAACAAGACGAGATCCACGCTTATTGATCCCCAGAGAGCTGATTCAGTTATTCAGCAGCAAAGACGGAAATAAGTACCGGCGACGAATAAACAACAAGACGGATATAAAACTAAAATAAGAGCAGACGAGGAGAGAACTTCACAAAAACCAGATAACAAGGTCGAAGTGACAGTTGTGTGTTGTACTCAGTGGAAGTTGAGAAGCTTTTATCGTGAAATGAATCCTGAAATCTGTTGTAATCTTTTAGCTTGTTTGTCTTCTTGACATTTTAGACGGAAGATTCACCGAGCAGCACTGGAAGCATTTGTTTGACATTAAATGAGACCCACAGGATCACAAAAGGGATCAACAATGCATCCCGAGGACAACACGTTTCCCCCCATAGACGTCTATGAGAACACGACTCTACGCCTCCGTAGTGACCAGCAGGGGGCGACTCCTCTGCTCCCATAGACGTCTATGAGGAAATGACTCTACTTCTCTGTAGTGACCAGCAGGGGGCGACTCCTCTGCTCCCATAGACGTCTATGAGGAAATGACTCTACTTCTCTGTAGTGACCAGCAGGGGGCGACTCCTCTGCTCCCATAGACGTCTATGAGGAAATGACTCTACTTCTCTGTAGTGACCAGCAGGGGGCGACTCCTCTGCTCCCATAGACGTCTATGAGGAAATGACTCTACTTCTCTGTAGTGACCAGCAGGGGGCGACTCCTCTGCTCCCATAGACGTCTATGAGAAAATGACTCTACTTCTCTCTTGATTTATTCCCTCAGTAAACATTGTAAACATGAGTTTATGGTCTCAGTCTCTAGTTTCAAGTCTTCTTCATCACAGCATGATGGTCATTTAGTGAATGAACTACTATATCTTAAAGGTAATAGTTATTTGCTGATGTATTTGGTCATTTTCAAACATTTTTGTAACAGTTCATTGCTGCAGTGAAATTTCCCTGAATGCGTTATTATCATCATCATAACCGTTAGTAGTTTTCTCCATGCTGTTCTACCACATAAATGGAAATGTGATACAAAGGGCCTTCACAATGTAATGAAAAAAATAGAAAATTATGTATATTGCTTGTTTCTACAAGTTTCTTAAAAGTTGTTATATTAGTCAAAAAGACATGATATCCAATTAGTAATGGTTGCATTCCATTCAGTCATTCCAGCACGCACTAAAAACTAATCTGATACCTCGATGAAACGACTAACTCTAACATGGCGTTTAATAACATGCAGAAATGTCTGCAGCGAGGATGATCCCTGACGCAGGAATCTTTGGTCTTTAATAAGCCAGACTCATCGCTGCACTGTTTCCCTCCTCCAGAAAGGCCAGATAATGTGAAATGAAGAAGCTGCGTGGAAGAAGAGCCACGCTGTGGGTTGACGAAGAAGCTAAAAAAACAGATTAGCATGAACGTCGTTTGAGACTCTGATGTCACACAATCCGAAGAAATTCAACAGTTTATAAAGTTGATTTAACTTTAGTGAACTTTTTATGAATGAGCTCACAGATGATGTAGTATTAGGATGAAGTTGACATTAGATGGTTTAAAGTTGTGCACAGGTAATGAGCTGAGATCAAAACACTGTTTCCAAGTCACAAACCAAAGATCTTTTGTTTTTGTTTACAAAAAGGCTTTTGGATTTTATTTCTATTTTGGGTGGTTGTGAACAGGGAACGACGATCATTTGCAGCAACATATAATTCTCAGCAGTTGGTGGAGACCAAAGAGGAGCTACAGGAAGAGTTGCATCAGACATAACATTTGTTGTAAAGTGGCCTGATATGTGATCACCTCAGTCAATAAGGTCCATTGCTGCTTTCGCTTCATTTCATGCATTCATTTTATCTTCTGCAGGGTCTTTTGGCCACACGTGATAGTGTGGAACATCTACAAATGAAGTGGTCTCCAACAACGCTGTGGGATATAATCACTCACACAAAAGGTAAATTGTCTCTCTGATCGATGGAACCGGAGCTGAAGAAACTCAAGACGAACAGAACTTCAACTTCTGACTCTGTCGGCTGAACTGAC